AAGTCATCCTTGCATCAAAATAGTTCTCATAGATGTTGTAGCCCAGGGTGATGTTGGGTAAGAGCCTGAGATCCTGGTTGATCTCTTGGATGGTGAACAGGAAAGACAACATGTGCCAGTAGAACCTAGGTGCCTCCCTGCAATAAATGAATTATTTAAAAAGAGTGAAACTGGCATTCGTATGAATGGGGGTGGGGACATTATATGATCCACAAAGATTAATATTTGTTTGTTTCTTTGTTTTTCCATCCTTCTGCATTGACATCAAACCTTTTCCTGTCTAGCATAGAAGAAAAATTTGGAAATCTCTGCTCCATGACCGGAGCTTTGATGCAAACAGCAGACAGAGCTGTTCAACAGTGGAAGAGACTCCCTCCGAAGGTGACCATGTGTCATGGATGCTTCAGGTGAGATTCCTCCGGGTTCCTTCCATCTCTACAGCTCTATGATTCTATTCTACTATGGTTTTATGAGTAAGAAATGAAGGCGCCCCTCAAAAATGTGTGATATACTGGGAAGTTGCTGCAAAGGCTGCTTTTTTTGCAGTAGTCTTTGGCTTCTTCCAAGGGGCTAGACTATAGGTAGATAAGAGACAATTTTATTGAAGGAGGGAAGCACCAAATACCTCAGTCCCCTTTGAGTTACATATGAGGCCTGGTGGCTTGCAGGTTTGAGTGTGTGGTAAAATTATAATTTTGTCCATATTCTGGATCAGAGACTACACCAATGAGGACACCCCCTGCTGTATAATTCCTTTTCGCATGTTACCGATATTACTCCACGAAGAAGGAAGTCTCCTTACTCAAATTACCATATTTTTTGCACCATAACACTCACTTTTTTCCTCCTAGAAAGTAAGGGGAAATGTCAGTGCGTGTTATGGAGCGAATGCCTGTGGGTGGCGGGGGGGGGGGTCTGCTGCAGTCGCGAGCAGAGGATCCATGGTTCCCCTTCCTTCCCTCCTCCGTGGCTCGCTTTGGGAGAAGAGCCGCTGAGTGGGGAGGAGAGAGGGGCAGAGAGCCTGCTTGCTTTAAAGGAGCGAAGCTCCTTCTTTAAAGGTGTAAGCGGCTCCTGTCCGGTTGGTTCCTTTAAAGCAAGCAGGCTCTCTGCCCCTCTCTCCCACCCACTCAGCTCGCTACATAGCAGCAAAGCTTTTCAGCTCGCTAAGCCAGGGATGAGCGGGGAGGAGGGAGAAAAGCAGAGCCTGCTTGCTTTAAAGGAGCAAAGGGGAGAGGAGAAGAGCCTTCTCCCCTCTTCTTCATTATTAGCAGCATCCTTCTCCACCCACCCCACACGTGCTCCTTGTCCCTTGAGTGCTTTTCCTTCCCTCCCCACTTAAAACGTGGTTACAAAGCATGGATCCACATGCATCCTCAGGATTTTTGCACTGGGTCACCCCAAATTCACCATCAGATCACATAGCATGTCCATGGCTACATCTTGCACCCCAAAAATCACACACCCACTGTTGCCTGGGGCCGCAGTGGTGCAAAAATGTGGTTACAAAGCATGTCTCCACATGGATCCTTAGGATTTTTGCATTGGGCTACTCCAAACTCACTGTCAGATCACAGATCTGTGGCCACAGGATGAACCACAAAAATCATACATCCACTGTTTCGTTTAGAATATTTTTTTTCCTTGTTTTCCTCCTCTAAAAACTATGTGCGTGTTATGGTCGGGTGCGTGTTATAGAGCGAAAAATACGGCATTTCATTTATCATTTCAATTAAAGTACATCTTTTCTGCTCTTCAGCCATCAAACATCACCCAAAGGATCTTAATTTCCATTTGTAAAACTGTAGCATTCCTTAACAGCAGAGTATGAATCGTCCAAATGGAATAATATTGAATAAAACCCTTGAGCCTTGGGAATTGCCTGAGTTTCATGGCATCCTGCAGGTGGGGAAATTCAGTGCATCCTTTTGATGCCTGACCAGATTCATTGGCATCCTTGCATTCTTCCAAAAGCAACACAGAATCAAAGGTTGGAGAGTGTTTTATTAAGGAAGACCCAGGGAACATGGAAATAGGAGAGGGTTGGGTGGAATCTTTTACTAGACACCCCCCAGCTCCCAGCTCCTCCAACAGCAAGCCCAATGGTCAGGGCAGGGTACTCCTGCAACACCAGCCCTTGGCTCCCCAGCCCTGAGAAAGGGGCTATTTCCTTGATAAATAGGAACCACTAGAAGGATTGGAGGACCATGAAACCATCTGTATATAAGTGCATACACTTCAGTCCTGGCGAAGGGTGTCTGAGAAAAGTTGTATGACGTTTCCTCAAAAAAGCGTTTTGGAGAGATGATCCCACTGATGAAAAAGTGTCCAGGCCGGTAGTAATTGCGAGCATCCGTTTCATCCCTGACCAGATTCAAGGGGCATTTCGCCTTGTGGTTCTTGCAGACTCCAAAGGACATCATGAGCAGCAGAAGCAGCAACAGAAGGAGCAGGGATCTCATTCTGGCTCTGCCTCCTCCTCCTCTTACCTGCCTAGGAGGCAAAGGAGAAGAACCCAAAGACTCTTGCAAGACCAGACTGGGTGGTTTTCAACTCTACCTTCAGAGCTTGGAAGCACAAGGCAGGCACACCCCTCTTTCGCCAGCTCTGCATCTTGACTCAGTCTGTCTCCAACACAGGAAATATTCTCTGCACCAACTTTTCCCCCCCAGACACAGTGCAATTAATATTGTCATGCTGCTGTTGCTTTCTGAGGCTCATGCAATCTACAGAAATATCTCCTGAGCTTTCAGAAGATGAGAAGACTATAATTTTGATTATTCCAAGTGGAATAAGTTTCATCACAATAACTTTCTGGAGTCTTGACTGGCTCAAGCGGCAGGTGCAGAGCTGGAGAAAAACATGGTGCACAGAAGTCAAGGGGTGTGTTTGGAAGTTGGAAGTTTGGCCTGAACTTTGCTCCCAAGGACCAAAGGAGCTGGATCTGACCATGGACTCTCCTTCCTTGGAGGTTTTGAAGCAGAGTTTGGATGGCTATCTGTTGGGATTCTTTAGCTGAGATTCCTGCATCGCAGAGGGTTGGACTAGAGGACCTTGGGGTCCCTTTCCAAGTCTCCCATTCTATGATTCATTGGAGGTGGGAGAGTCAGGGATGGACAACAGCCAGATGTGGGAGTCCCAGCCTTGTATCCCAGGCATCCTAAGCCCTTTTAAAATGTGGTTTTTTGGGGGGAGGGCAGAGGCTGTTATTGGGTTGTTGTTTTTATTTTGATTATATATATTGTGGTTTTATATTTTGATTTTGCTCTCTGAACCGCCCTGCGACCTCCAGGCATAGGGCTTTATATAGAGTCAATAAGTAAATTTAAAAAAATAAAAAAAAATGGAGAATGCAGAGAAATGCCATCCTCAGTACTGTGAACGGGATACATGGCGGTGGGATTTTGTTTCCTGGCGGCTTCTAGAAACAGAGACTGGTGGAGCCTGCGATGGGGAGGGTTTTCTCAAGCCCACCCTCTGGCCACTTTGGGTGGGCCTGGGCTGCTTGATTCCTGCCACTCTCTTCTGGTTCTCCCCCTGAAGGGAAGTAGCACCTTGGTGGCTTCAGAGCCACTTCAAGTGAATTTCCACCCCATCTTTGAAAGGCTTCTCCAACAGAGGGAAGCTCTCTGGGGTTGGTGGAGGGGAGAAAGGTTGCTCTGAGCCTTAAACCTTTTGCCCTTTGACATGTTTTGGGGAAGGTGAGCTTCTGTTGCACATGGAACCAACTTGCTCCCCGTCTTTGAGCAGAAACTTCTCTACTCATAAACAAATTGTCTGTGCACAAACCAGGCTAGCATTCTAGCAGCTTTATTATTCTTTATCAATATTTGTTTGTTTGTTTGCTTGTTTGATCTGTTTCATAAAATCCATGCCCCACTTGATTGGGCAAATAACTCCCATCTCTAACCATGTAACTCCATTTAAGTCTCCCATTAGTATACAGTGGTACCTCTGGATGCGAACGGGATCCGTTCCGGAGCCCCCTTTGCATCCTGAAGCGAACGCAACCCACGTCTGCACGTGTGCTGGTCGCGATTCGCTGCTTCCACGCATGTGCGTAACATCATTTTGAGCGTTTGCGCATGTGCAAATGGCAAAACCCGGAAATAATGCTTTTTGTTACATCCGGGTTGCCGCGGAGCGCAACCTAAAAACTCTCAGTTTCCTTCTTATTGTAATTTCTTTGACCCCCAGAAGGTCTCACTGTCTCTTTTCTCAGTTCTTTCTTTAGCTGTCCCTTCTTGCTCGCTTGCTTTCCTCCTTTCCTTCCTCCTCCTCCTTTGGGCGTGGGCAGCGTGAGCTAGCAGTTTTCCTACACCCTATTGTGGTTTGAGGGCCCGACCCCCGCGAAGTGAAATGAAGACACAAGGACACGTGATATAAGGTTAATGGGCTAGAAAAGGCCACAACTTTATTGATTACAGCAATGAAAAGGTATTGGCTTAGGCATTGGATCGAAACAAGTGGGTTTATTCACCAGGCGTTCATCACCTGTTGATGCTAATCCAACTATAGGCTCACCCCTGCTGTCACCGCGGGTCGTGCCATGGCCTCCCGCCAAGCAGGCATCGGACAGAATACACGACCGCCAGATTCCTTTAACGGAATACCCCTAAAAATTGAAGGCATAGGCGATGGCCACACCTAGCACTTCGACACACCACAACACATTATTCCAATGCCTAACCTACCCACCAATACCACAAAAGTTGTGACGATTGCTACGAGGTAGGCGAAAAAACCAAAAAGCCTATTGCCAAATGGAAAAACTCCTACCAGGCCCCCCAGGCAACCAGGGCGACCAACCTAAGGTCCATAGCAAGGCCAATGACCTAAGCCCTAACTAAAAGGGAGTGGAGGGTGGGTGACTCGTGACGGGACGACGATGAGGAATGAGGCCAGGGAAAGGCTGGCACTGCAGCAAAAGGCTGCTGAACACGCCCCCACCACGGCACCTGGTTGGGTGGCCACCGGGGGGGGGGGCGTGAGTGCCAGCCAGGTGAGCGGGAGGCAGGGGGCAACGCCCCCTGCTGGGCGGTGCTCGGGTTCCCGCCCACAACCACTCCCCTATCTTTCAGGGAGGAGAGTCTTTGCCCTTTCTTTTCAAGCCACCTTCCAGGATCGTTCCCCTCTCAGTCCTGCCTTCTCCTTCTCCTCCGCCACCGTAGACGCTGTCGTTCTCTCGCACTTCTCCTTCGCCGTCCACCCTTTGCCCGCTGTCTTCTCCGTTCTGCTCCGCAATCTCAAAAGGTGTCGGGCTGTAGGACGGGCTGGCCGTGTGGGACGCCAGCGTAGGGCCACATGGGGTTGGGTTTCTCGCCCCGCTTGCCTCCGCGCTCAGATCTTTTATTCCTCCTCTCCAGTTTGGACCACAAGGATTAAGACCTGTGCAAGGACAACAAAAGGAAATGTCCCTTAGGGACTTGGGCGCCTCCAGGTGCTACTTCCCCTGCCACCACTGGCGGAGGAAGGTGGGGTGTGGGGGGGGGGTATCGCCCCGAGTGCCATCCCAGGGGGGGTGGCAAAATCCCCCTGGGCGGATCGGTGCAAGCCTCCCAACTCCTCCTCATCTGGGTTCAGGGTGGACACAGCTGCGATGCTGCCGCATCCAGCGCCTGAGCCACGTGCAGAGGCACGCCCCACTGCTGCCTCTTGTACTGGGTTGCTCTGGTGGCACTGGTGGTGCTGGCGGCAGCGCTCTTCTGAAGATCTTGCGAATCCGGGAGATGATGGAGCCCAGGCAAGTGGGGGTCTTCGGGGGCCTCTCTTCCTCGCAGTCCTGTGAGAAAAGTAAACAATTCACCTCCAGATTCTGGGAAAATGCCGCAATCATTAATCAATCAATCAAACAATTGATTGATTAAATCCGTATGCCGTCCTTCATCTGAAGCTGTCAGGGCGGCTTACAGCATAAAAATACAAAATAAAAACACATGTATTAAAAACAAAAAACGAACTCATAAGCCAACCTCCCAATCCACAAGCATGTTGAAAAGGCCATGCGTTGTCCAATTAGCCCAAGGCTGGTTCTAGAGCAGAACTTTCCATGTTGGTGACACACTTTGGAGACATGCCTCATTTCGCAACACAGGGATTCAGTTCAACTAGCCCTTTTCCAGCCCTGGGAGGAGCACACAGTTTGGAAAGCTCTGTTCTAGAGAAACGTCTTTGCTTGGCACCTAAAGATACATAATGAAGATGCCAGATGAGCCTCCCTGGGAAGAGCATTCCGCAAGTGGGGAGCCACCACAGAAAAGGCCCCTTCTTGTGTTGCTGCCCTCCAGACCGTTTGTGAAGGAGAAGGGCCTGTGTGGTGGCAGGCTGTCATAATCCCTCCTTTTCTTTTTGGGGGCAAGGCGTTATATGAAAGGGTTGTAGTCAGGAGGGAACACTCCTCTCCCAAGTTCTCATGTGGTCAGCCTTGGAGAGATCTGAACGAGACACAAAACCAAGAACAAGAGGGTGGGGGGAAGGTATCGGAGGCAGGAAAACCCCAGAGAGAACCGGCTTTGCAAAGTGCCAACATGGTTTTATTATCGCCAAACCCACTTTGCAATTAATAACTTCATTTGGCAGGAGGCACCTGGAAACGCATTCAAAAGAGATATCTTACAAAACAAATACCAAACCAAAAGCAACCCAGGAGAATTATCTCCACCCCCATCGTTCTGAGATCCAGTGCTGAGGGCCTTCTGGCGGTTCCCCACTGCCATAAGTGAAGTTACAGGGAACCAGGCAGAGGGCCTTCTCGGTGGTGGCACCCGCCCAGTGGAACGCCCTCCCGCCAGATGTCAAAGAAATAAACAACTATTTGACTTTTAGAAGACATGTGAAGACAGCCCTGTTCAGGGAAGCTTTTCAAATGTCATGAATGAATGTGTGTTTCGTCTGACCTCGATTATGCTTGCCTCCAGGTGTTCTCCAGGTGGGGGGCACGGCGAATAAAGGGCCTCCTTGTCCTCCTTGTCCTCCCCGTCCTCCTCTGGGGGGCTCTCTGGTACTTCCTGTGGCTCTTCCTCCTCGATAGCCACTTCAGAGACTGCCTGCCAGCAGAGACAGGACCCCAGAGGTGGTGGCATTGGTGGTGGGGAGAGGGGAGAAAGAGAGCAGCCCAGAATGAGACAGGAACCCACATTGAGTCGCTAGCCAGGGAAGCCCTACAGCCCTGGCGCCATGGGGGGCTGGTCCATCAGGACAAGTAGGGCAGCAAGCATACCCTTAGCAGCCCCCTGCCTGCCTACCTGCCTGCCCCCTTGCTCACGACCAGTCCAGAAGGTGGCCTGACCGGCCAGCCGGCTTCCTCCTCCTCCTCCTCCTCCTCCTCCTCCTCCTCCTCCCCCCCAGCCTCAGGGTTCTCCAGCTCAGCAGGGCTTCCCTCCTGCTCTGTCTGCTACGTACCTCATTGAGGGAGTCCCAAAGGGAATCCAGGGAGGACAGGGAGGAAACACTGGAAAATGGTGACATGCTTGGAACCTGCAAGGAAAAGATGCAAAAAACGAGCAATTAAAAAACGCAACCAAACGTTAAAACTCAAGGCACCCATAACTGAAACAACAGTTCCATTCTGCAGTTGATATGCTTCCCTCGCCTTCTGCCAATCACCACTTAGGCCACGGCCACCTACCCAGTCAGGGCTGAGGAGATCCAGCCGTCTTGCGGTCGTCTCCTCCTCGCCTTTTCCTTCGTCCTCCTTGACATTGGGAATGTCCTCCTCGGTGGCTGACTGCTAGCAGAGACAGGACCCCAGAGTTGACGGTGGGGAGAGAGGAGAAAGAGAGCATCCCAAAATGAGACAGGAACCCAGAAGGGAAACTCTCTTGCCTACATTGAGTCGCTAGCCAGGGAAGCCCTACAGCCCTGGCGCCATGGTGGGCTGGTCCATCAGGAGGAGTGGGGCAGCAAGCATGGTCTGCCCTTAGCAGCCCCCTGCCTGTTTGCCCCCTTGCTCTCAACCGTCCAGAAGGTGGCCTGGCCGGTCAGCCAGCCAGCATCCTCCTCTTCCTCCTCTTCCTCCTCCTCCCCAGCCTCAGGGTTGCCCATGTGCAGCTCAGCAGGGCTTCCCTCCTGCTCTGTCTGCTACGTACCTCATTGAGGGAGTCCCAAAGGGAATCCAGGGAGGACAGGGAGGAAACACTGGAAAATGGTGACATACTTGGAACCTGCAAGGAAAAGATGCAAAAAACGAGCAATTAAAAAACGCAACCAAACGTTAAAACTCAAGGCACCCATAACTGAAACAACAGTTCCATTCTGCGGTTGATATGCCCCCCTCCCCTTCTGCCAATCACCACTTAGGCCACGGCCACCTACCCAGTCAGGGCTGAGGAGATCCAGCCGTCTTGCGGTCGTCTCCTCCTCGCCTTTTCCTTCGTCCTCCTTGACATTGGGAATGTCCTCCTCGGTGGCTGACTGCTAGCAGAGACAGGACCCCAGAGTTGACGGTGGGGAGAGAGGAGAAAGAGAGCATCCCAAAATGAGAGAGGAACCCAGAAGGGAAACTCTCCTGCCCACATTGAGTCGCTAGCCAGGGAAGCCCTACAGCCCTGGCACCATGGGGGGCTGGTCCATCAGGACAAGTGGGGCAGCAAGCACAGCACATTCACTCTCAAGGCACCCATAATTCAAACAACAGAACAGCGGTATAGCCAGCTGCTTGGGTGCCCGGTTCAACGCGGGGGTCCTGTGGGCTTTCTGGAGCCTATCCTCTGCCTCCCCCCCAGCTGTAGGGCGGTTGAGGGAGAGGCGGGGGCAGACGCAAGCCCCACGCTTCTGTTTCAGGCAGCGCCCAGCCTGCAGGGGCCCAAGCCACCAAGTCACTCCCAGGAGAGATGCGTGGATCAGGCACTCTGCACCCCCCCCCCCGGTAAGTGCCAGCCCCCGCGGTGCGGCGCCCAGTGCCAGCCGCGTTTTTTGACTCGACTAAAAGGTTTGGTGAGCCCAATTTTTATTTTAAACACGGCTTTCTGTCCTTTTGCCACCCCCCTCAGTGATGACACCTGGGGCGGACCTCACCCCCCCACCCCCCACCCTCCTTTCTCTGCAACTGCAACAGAATAAAAGGACTCAAAACTCCCTTAGCAGTTTCCTGCTGGTCCCCTCACCATTTCCGCAGACATCAGTCTTCAGACTTTGCTTTCTCGGCGTCCAATAAGAGTTTTTCCTGATTCACTTGCAGAGAAACCACCAAAAGGCTGTTGGCCTCAACTGCAAAGTGAGGCTGTGATTCTGAGCCGATGTCACAGCCAGGTTCCGATCAGTCCATTTCCTCCAAGGGGGGGGGGACACCTGTTTCCCCTGAGGGTGACCGCTGAACACACCACCCAAGGGGAAAAGAAGGAGAAAAGCAGAGAAATCTTTTAATTCTGTAGCAAGAAAGAATGAGTGCCAGGAGTTTTCTTTTCCCTGCACTCCTCCATTGCCACACCTTTTCATTACTATTATTATGCTAGATCAGGGGTCGGCAACCCGCGGCTCCGGAGCCGCATGCGGCTCTTTAACGCCTTTGCCGCGGCTCCGGGGCGGAGGCGAGGGGAGGAGGCGCATGTTCCGCAAAGCCATTTCCGAGCTAGAGAGGAGAGGGGGTTGCGAGCTAACCCCTCCCACACTCCATTCGCGGGGGCTGGCCTTTTGCCCCCGCGAGAACAGGGGAATCCCCGGGCGTGCCTGCAACCCTGCCCGCCAATCGGACCGCCCTCTTTGCCCCGTTCCAGCTCGCACCCTCTCCCTTCCACTCCCGGCAGTCCTTCTCTGCCGTCCTCGCTGCTTTCCTCCCCCCCGCCCCCCGCTTTCCTCCCTCTCTAGCCTCCTCTAGGCGTGGGTTGAAGCTGCGGCGGCCATTTCTTTTAAGGGCAGCGATAAGGGGAAATCGTCGGCGCCATCTTTGTGGGCGCACGTGGGAGTCGCGGGAGCGGCCATTTTGGTTGAGGGCTGTAAGCAGGCTGCATTGAAAGGGGGCATGTAAGCTGGTCACTGTTTTGAAGGGGAGTGAAGAACACACCCTCAAAAAAGGTAACTTGTTAATTTAACCTTTATTTCTATGAGGAGGAGTAATTCTGAGGGGTCAAACAAAAAAATAATAAAAAAGTGTCAAAAAAGTTATTTTAAAATGACGAGGATGACATTGGGCCCTCATTATTCATTATTATTTACATCAGGCACTGATTAGGATTTATGGTACACTGGGGCCCTGATTAATTTTCTATGGCATTTTGGGGCATTGATTATTGGGCATAGCAAATTTTGCTATGGGGCCCTCTGATTTCTAGTTACGTCCCTCTTTTGGACCCCCGGTAGGCCAGCCATGGATAAAGGCAAGAAAAGAAAAATTTCTGAAGAAAACAGAATGTCTAATGATACATGGACAGAATCATTTGCCTTCTCTACTGACAAGACTGGTTTACCAGTATGCTTAATATGTGGTGAGAAATTTGTTGTTGTTGTTGTTTAGTCGTTTAGTCGTGTCCGACTCTTCGTGACCCCATGGACCAGAGCACGCCAGGCACTCCTGTCTTCCACTGCCTCCCGCAGTTTGGTCAGGCTCATGTTTGTAGCTTCGAGAACACTATCCAACCATCTCATCCTCTGTCGTCCCCTTCTCCTAGTGCCCTCCATCTTTCCCAACATCAGGGTCTTTTCCAGGGAGTCTTCTCTTCTCATGAGGTGGCCAAAGTATTGGAGCCTCAACTTCACGATCTGTCCTTCCAGTGAGCACTCAGGTCTGATTTCCTTAAGAATGGATGCGTTTGATCTTCTTGCAGTCCATGGGACTCTCAAGAGTCTCCTCCAGCACCATAATTCAAAAGCATCAATTCTTCGGCGATCAGCCTTCTTTATGGTCCAGCTCTCACTTCCATACATCACTACTGGGAAAACCATCGCTTTAACTATACGGACCTTTGTTGGTAAGGTGATGTCTCTACTTTTTAAGATGTTGTCTAGATTTGCCATCGCCTTTCTCCCAAGGAGCAGGCGTCTTTTAATTTCGTGACTGCTGTCACCATCTGCAGTGATCATGGAGCCCAAGAAAATAAAATCTCTCACTGCCTCCATTTCTTCCCCTTCTATTTGCCAGGAGGTGATGGGACCAGTGGCCATGATCTTCGTTTTTTTGATGTTGAGCTTCAGACCATATTTTGCGCTCTCCTCTTTCACCCTCATTAAAAGGTTCTTTAATTCCTCCTCACTTTCTGCCATCAAGGTTGTGTCATCTGCATATCTGAGGTTGTTGATATTTCTTCCGGCAATCTTAATTCCGGCTTGGGATTCATCCAGCCCAGCCTTTCGCATGATGAATTCTGCATATAAGTTAAATAAGCAGGGGGACAGTATACAGCCTTGTCGTACTCCTTTCCCAATTTTGAACCAATCAGTTGTTCCATATCCAGTTCTAACTGTAGCTTCTTGTCCCACATAGAGATTTCTCAGGAGACAGATGAGGTGATCAGGCACTCCCATTTCTTTAAGAACTTGCCATAGTTTGCTGTGGTCGACACAGTCAAAGGCTTTTGCATAGTCAATGAAGCAGAAGTAGATGTCTTTCTGGAACTCTCTAGCTTTCTCCATAATCCAGCGCATGTTTGCAATTTGGTCTCTGGTTCCTCTGCCTCTTCTAAATCCAGCTTGCACTTCTGGGAGTTCTCGGTCCACATACTGCTTAAACCTGCCTTGTAGAATTTTAAGCATAACCTTGCTAGCGTGTGAAATGAGTGCAATTGTGCGGTAGTTGGAGCATTCTTTGGCACTTCCCTTCTTTGGGATTGGGATGTAGACTGATCTTCTCCAATCCTCTGGCCACTGCTGAGTTTTCCAAATTTGCTGGCATATTGAGTGTAGCACCTTAACAGCATCATCTTTTAAAATTTTAAATAATTCAGCTGGAATATCATCACTTCCACTGGCCTTGTTATTAGCGATGCTTTCTAAGGCCCATTTGACTTCACTTTCCAGGATGTCTGGCTCAAGGTCAGCAACCACGGTATACAAGACATCAATTTCTTTCTGGTATAGTTCCTCTGTGTATTCTTGCCACCTCTTCTTGATGTCTTCTGCTTCTGTTAGGTCCTTTCCACTTTTGTCTTTTATTATGCAAACAACAAAAAGTCAAATATTGCAAGACATTTCCAGAATAAACACACAGCCT